ATTTCATTTGAACTGTGTGGATAGTAATTTCTCTCATGTAGATCAATAAATTTCATCCTATCATATTTCCTGCTGACCGTTTGATGACTTTAGAAAAGTAATTTTTTTAAAAATCAGTAAACCAGAATCCGATAGATCCCAACAAGTATTTATTGATCTTGCTATGCAAAATATTTCAGATGACGTGACCACACGCATTGTTTTTATTTTAAGCTTGCAATGATATTCAAGCGGTCAAAATACTTACTGCTTTAAATAAATACATGGATAAATGAACGAATGATAGAATGAATGAATGAATGAATGAATTAGAGTTCTTCGTCTGGCGACACACGCCAGAGGAGTCTACTCAACTTGGTACTTTGAGGCCTATTGGCCCATTGAATAAAATGCCTGGGTGGCTTTTTGTATCAGAATTAATGCCTTTATAAATAAACCGAGACTCATAGTCCTTTTTTTTCTTTTGCTCAGGACGACTTTAAGGTGACTTATACCCTTAATGTTCTAGCCCTTTCATTTTTTTTAAAATCAAAGAGATGGTTCCTGCGCAATGTATTAAACTGGCATTAGTTGCAATGTTGATTGGTGATGTAGACTACTTTGTTTTGCTTTAATAAGAGTTTTACGGCACTTGCAACACAATTATGTTATATAAGTGACGAAGATTAGAGTTTTTACAAAAGAGTAAAATGCACCAAAAAGTAGAAAGGATAAGGACGATCGGTGTTTGATAGCAATGGAGGAGCAAACCACACCGGAACACCAGCCAACCAACTACATGTAGCGTACAAGCTGCAGTAGCTCATTCAATAAAGAGATGCGATTGGAATTGTACTGTAGTAGATTGATTGACACGACAGAAATCTAAGTTTACTATCACACAATTTCATGTCCATTCTCCGTTTTAGTTTCAGTGAAAGTTGTACGGCATTTGCAACACTTTTGTCATATAAGTGCAGGAGATTAGAAGTGTTACTAGATAGTAATATTCAAATTTTAATCTGAATAAAAGAGGAGAGATATAAGTACAACATAACTATGTTTGAAAGGAGTGAAGGAGCAAGTGACTCCAGAGCACATGCAAACCATCCTCTTCCATTCTTCAGATCACTTCAGGCTGATTGTTTCTTCAGAAAACATTGGTACGATAATGTATATTGCTCAAGGTCTTGAAGTCCCGACCAGCCAGTTCGATTTGTGTGGAAAAAACAACAGATATACATACATTTGAGTTTATTGTCGTTATAAAATCAGTTAGCTAAGATATTTTGTCAAGACAAAATGAGACTACGAAATCAAACTTTCTGGAATATGAACAATTACTTGATTGAGATAGCACTGTTCTCCATCCCCTACCTCTCCGTCTCTTTCATCCCTGTCTCTGTCCTCTCTCTCCCTCTCTCTCCCTCTCTCTCTCTCTCTCTCTCTCTCTCAC